GAAGAAATAATATGAGATGAGAGCTTTTTTATTAAAGTTCAGGGATTCCAAAATATATTTGCAATCAGCATCATGCTGTGAATTCTGGTCTTGTTAGATAAAATTGAAGAAAAACAGTCCTAGTTTTTGTTCCTAACAGTGATTGTAAGAACTTTTCATCTATGGTTGAATACTAACTTTTTTTTCGAAACTGCAATGCTTTTCCAAAATCCTTAAAATTTCTTATTCTCAGAAAAAAAATCATTTAGATTGTAGATAAAATAAAGTAAAATAAATTTATTCTTATGTGAAAAAATTATATACGAGTGCTTATTGTATAAAAGTAGTTTTAAAACAGTGAGTGCCATATTTTCCTGTCTCTCCCAATATTATCATAAGAAGGATTCGGCATAATTATAGTCAGTATTTTTCCAAACGTTTTCTAGTATATTGAAGCAGGGCAAAAGAATTAAAAAATAAGTTAATTAAACTAACTGATTTATTGATTGATTTTCTTTGATTGCCATTATCTAAACTACTTTTTGAATAATTATGTTCCATACGTATTATAGATAAAATATCATTCTCGACTTTATCGCTATCATCATTTATTGAAGACATAGATTGATGGGATGATCGAAAGAAACTTGACGATTCATAATCGCTACTCTCTTGAGTTGATGCATTATTCTAGAAAAAAAGCAGTTAAAGTCGATTGATAAATTTCAAAATAGACTTAATTAACCTCAGAATCAACATTTTGTGATACTTCATTTTCTGTTGCTGAAAGATCGAGTAGACTCAATTCACAGCTGTTTCTATTGAATTTCTTGTTAACATCAGTGTCGTTGATTAGAATTTGTTTCAAGTAAAAAGCTTGTGAATTCTAAAATCAAACTAAAAGCTGAATCGAATCTTACTAAAAAAATTTACATTGACGTGATTTCTATTCTGGCATTTTGTCGAAGAACATCTGCATAAAAGTGTACAGATTAAATTTCTTCTGCCACAAGTGCAACGGTGACAGCTTCCTGTACACTTTCCACAAACAGATAATCGATCGTCAGTTGGAAAACAGCTAAGTGATAACCATTTTAACTGAACATCATTTTGTCGTATCTCATAACCTTCAGAGTTCTCCACTGTTTGTATCGTCATATCCGATTGATATACTTGAGACCATATTTGAATTTGACGAGCTGCTCTTTGGCAATGGTAATAAAAAGCATCGGAAGTTGGTGGGAGAGTAGGGGCAACAAATGATGCACGATTTTGTTTAAAAGATGAGCTCGCCACTGTTGCTCTAAGGTCATCAAGAGATGATGCTGTATTTGTATATGAATAACAGTCAAGTAATAAGCGTTCAGCACATGAAATTCCGTCCACTAAAAAAATTCTCATGTTCAAATAAATAGAAAAAATTTGACAAAGTGAATTCCAAGGAACTGTTATTGAATAAAGGTGCTAAGATTTTATTTTTATAATTGAATGTAAATAAAAGTTCTTACTTGATAAAGGTACGGAGAAAAGGTGATTAAGATTTGAATATCGAGACGTGTTTGAGAGAAATGTTCGAAACATATTCGTCTTGGATATATTTCTAATGAATGAAGTCGTGTCACAACCTGATAATGCATGAATAACAAGTAAAATTATTGGATCAATAAGGAATTTCTTTTTTATTGCAAGAGCAATTTCACGAATATTGATATATGTATAAAATTTTCCTTTGGTATTGAAAGATTTAATAAAAAAATTATTAACATCTAATGACAATGCATGTGCTATACCCAAAATAATGACATCAGTATCATATGATTGACAAACAATAGATTTAATATTTTCATATGAAATAGCTTGTGCATGTATGAATAATCTTGTTGCAGCTTCTGCATGATTTGATACCAATAAATAATCATTAATAGGATCAAAATATTTTTTTAATGTTACTGATGATTCGTCTGGTCCAGCGATAACTAACACCTTTCCATCTGGTAAAGTCTGAATGGATGTACTAGCAGACCAACATTCTCTAATACGAGAAGCTATTATGGCTTCATTATTCATAACTAATTGATGGTAATCAGAGTCAAGAACATCATCACATTTAAGATCATAAGAAGGCTGTAAATTCTTCTCTATATGACGAGAGACAAAAGACTTCTCTATTTTACTTTTTACCGAGTCGAACACGACATCGATACGATTATAAGAGTTGAAATTATAAACAATTATCTAAACAAAAAATTTTGCAAACAGATTTTCATGTATTTATATTTACCATTTTTAATAATTGATTTGCATATTGACGAACTGTTACGCGTTTTCCAACTGGCTTTATCTGAAGTATACTTCTTCCATCGATGATCAAAGCTTGTGTTTCACGAATAGATGGAGGTGAAGATGAAAATGATGTAGAAAATTGGCTTTTTATATAATCAATAATTGAAGATTTATTTTGTTGGTACATTATATTGTAATCACGTAGGTCACATAAAGATAATGGTGCAATAGTAAATTCATGAGAAAAGACAGATGATAATGTAATATTTCGTTGTTCTGCAATAATTACAGCATCACGCATAAGCCTATCTATTGAATTGAGGTTCTTCGATAAGTCTCTAGAATGAGTGTTTAACAAATTTCTTTTCTTTGTATTAGGTCGTTCACCAGGTACGTAATGGTCAGCATCCGATAGTTCTAAATAAAGATTTCATAAATAATGGAACGTATTTAGGTTAAACGATGATTTACTTAAAAACATTATTGCTTTAAGTGGTTCGTCAATTTTTATAGTTTTATTAATTAAACGATCTACAATATAACTACGCATGGCTTCTTCACCACGAGCAAATGAATTGGTAATATTATTGATTATGTCATCATGTATAATTTTTCCGGAAAACAATTTTCGAAATTGTGGAGCATTGGATGAAAATATCTCCTCTTGTTTCAATTTCATTAAAATAATACGTAAGTCTTTGTTGTCTTTCATTTGTCTTTCAGGTGTGGATTCAATATGAGAATCGAGACTATTTGCATGAGTTTCGACTTCATATATTTCATGTAAGATACTGCTTAATGTTGCTCGATAGGCAAAGGAGTTTGTCCATACATCAATGGTGTCATCGGTAAACTTACCGGAGATGCCGCCATGGCTTTTTCCATATTTGTTAATCGAACTTTCAATAGTCTGATCCAATGCGATGTCTAGAAAAACGGTAATTACTAGTAAATTTTATGTATGATTTTTTGATCGCTTACTTGAAAATGGCCTTTCAGTTCTCACAACTGAAAACGACTTTGATAAACGATTCAGTAAATATGGACTTGCATTTGACAGATCATACAAATGTTGGGCACAAAGACGTGCATAGTTCCGATGGTTGCTAGAAAAAAATAATGGAGCTATTCTTGCGACACAAGCATTTCTGGATTTAAAATTCGACGTTCTAATAGAACAATATAATATCATCAATGGTTCAAATAAATGACGTAACATAAAATACCAAAAATCAAATAATCTTGATTGCTTGGCTTTACTTTCTGCCCAATTCGATAATTCTAATACTAAATTTTCTTCTTCAATAAAAGTAACTAATTTATTAAACCATATTTGTTTTATTGAATTAACATGATATTCAGTGGGAGAACTTTCAGAAAACGTACGGATCTTATTAACTAATAATGAAGAATCTGATGAAGGTGTTGTAATAGTATTAGACAATATGTTTGATGCTACATATGATTCTACAAGTAACATATATAATGCTGTAAATAACAATTTGCAACTTCTGAAAGATTTATTAAAGTGATGGACATTCAATATGGATTTGAGTGTTGCACCCCTATACATAATTCCTAATATATGCTCCACCCCTGATCCTTCTAACATTTGCCAAATAAGAATCATCGTCGTCTTCATCAAGTGAAAATCACCAGGATATATAAAACATTTATCAAATTCAATTGGATTATTTCTGATAACCTGAATTACAAGAAAATGAAACAGATGCATTGTATGAAATGTATATTTCAATATACTTTAATGCAATTATTGTACAATCTTTCATCAACTATGATAAGTGCTTCCTGCTGATGGTTCGAGTCAAGTACAGTAGTTTTCGTTTCTCGTAAGCATGTCTCTGCAGTTCTAATATCAGTTGGATTTTCTTTGATTGGTGTGCAAAATTTTATGGAATGCATAGGCCGTTTTTGAGAAACTAAGTAAGTTGCAAAAAATCCTGAGAGAAGCGGAAAATTAATCGACCTGGATAAAATCAATGTTCCATCATTATTAAATAAAGAAAAACATTTTGCAAAACAGTAGGCAAGCAGATTTGAATGAAATGAATTATCAATGAAGGAATCATATTTATTTAATTTTTTCGGTGATGTATTTATTGTGGATAAACATGATGACGAATTGAACATGTAAATTTGATCACACATATCATTAAGGAGGTGTTCACATATGAGAGAAACTTCATTGTTTCTAAAATGAAAAAAAGGAGTCTTCCATTTTCATTGAAATAACTACACAAATCTTTACTCTGGGGTTTGAACAACAATTTGATTCAATATGTGTATACTATTTGCACCGTAAAGTGTTTCTGTATTCATGTCGAAGTTGTCGGCAACCTTAACTGCAAACTGATGTTTACTGATCGAAGCTAAAAACGATTGTCCTTGCTCAAGCACCTCGGATGGGATTTTGGCCTTTTCAGCAGCTTCCTGCTGTAGTCGGCACATTGTACGATAACTACATGTGTGACCCATCCGATTGGTGATTGTCAGCAACTGAGCAGACCTTTCATGTCTCAAAAGTTCATTGCCTAGAAGATAATGCTTGGGTGTGATAAAACATCTATTAGTAGCATTTATGATGTCATAGGATATTGATGCAATCTTTAACCGTTTATGATCTTGAACAAATATGTCATCACACAATACTGAAAGACACCATATTCAATGTTCTTTTTAAAGAGAAAAGAAAAAAAATATCTACATGAATAAAAATCATAGTTTTTTTTAATTTGATTGAATTGCCTGCCACTCATTGTCAGCATTCCAATAAAATTTTTCAAAACAGTTGGAACATAATTCCAAAACATGGATGAATCGAAATCGACAAGACTCATACGATTACATCCTAACATGGTAAAAAGATGTGCATGACTTTCAATGGACTCCCGTAGGAGCTTAATCGTATCAAACAAAGATTCACATCGTGCTGTTTCCATCGTTTCATATTTGGTAGTTGACAAAAGAGTTTCGGATTCTTTTTTTCCGTATGATGATATGCATACATGCTTATCGAAAAAAATTGATAAATCGTTAAGGGTCACATACAAGCCTTCATACTTCGATCTACGATAAAAGAATATATAATCACCAAATTTAAGTTCTAATCGTGCTCGAATAGCATTGCCAAGTAAAATAGCAGGTGAATAGGGTTCTTTTCGTCTGCTCAGAATATTTTCATAAGTAATTTTAATGTCACTCATAGCAACAATTTCTCCTTTCACTAATAAATTTCTAAGCCAGTGGCATAATTCTTCAATTATGAGATAAACTACAATATTGGTATAGGTGGTAACCTTTCTTTCGACACATAGCTATTGAGGATCCATTTGTTGTCGATCCATACATTATTTCACTGAACTCGTTAGAGCATATATCCGATACATTCTCGTCACAGTTGTTTAAAACAGTTGACGATTGATTTATTTCAGTAACCTTTATCATCAAAAAAAGATTACTTATTTCTGTCTACAATCTGAAGTACGAGTGTACTTACTTCTTTCTCAAGAGTATCTTCTTCCGCATTAGGGTTCTCAACAGGTTTGCTCAATGAAACGTCGTTTTGACCATTCTTTGCTAATGGTGAATGTTTCAGTACTCGTTGTTGCTGTATTTTAATTGGTGGTAATTTTCGAGTGATTTTTATATAACATGCCTTGTGAGCATCACTGTTAATCAAAGATTCAGCAGATATATCGGTTCCAAATCGATTCCAATAACCCATGCGAAGTTTATTCTCACTTTCAGCTGAATTAATTATAATATAACTTTTTTTCGAAATAGCCTCAACTTTTTTACAAATTACACATTCTCGTGTTTTCTTAGGCATTTTTATGCAAAATGAAGAAAATCAAAATAATATCTAAAAGACACAGTTCTTCCAAATAAGGTATAGACTGATAGTCTATTCATAACAATTTATGAATTAATTATAATATAATTTTTTTTGAAATAGCCTCAAGTCTTTTACAAATTACACATTCTCGTATTTTCTTATGCATTTTTATGCAAAATGAAGAAAATCAAAATAATATCTAAAAGAAACAGTTCTTGCAAATAAGGTATAGACTGATAGTCTATTCACAACAATTTACGGTTAATTTTTCTTCTATTATTGTCATTGTCATATCAGTTACTTTGTTTGACAGAAAACATATGATTGTTGTGCCAATCGGATGCTTCAATAGATGTCGCACATATCAACTTTTTAAATTCGGTGGGTCAGAAAGTTTTTTATTTATAGTCGACAGGTATTTAGGATGCCTTAATTTTGTGGAAAATTTCAGTTCACAAAAGTGAGTTTCATCATCAAGTGCATTGGTGCATATCGATTTCTACATTGATTGGATGACTTATGTATGTATGTCCACAGACTAATAAGAAAAAACAAGTTTTGGATTTTGATTTTTTTTTGTCCTGTCCAATAGTATATCCATATTATTATTCTCCTATCACAATTAAATTACTGATTTTTATTATTTATTTATTATGAAAAAACCAGATGGCGCTTGTTATTGAGAATAATAAATGGAATATTATAGGAACAGAAATGATCGTTTAGCAATTTTGTTTTCTCTCAGAATAATCATCAAGTATTGATATTCGCTTGCTTTCCAATTCTACTGTTAATCGTACTAAATTTGAATGTAAAGCATGTGAATAAAAGGAAACACTAATAGAAATAAATCAGCTAATGTAAATTTCATTTATATGTTAATTCTTGATAATATTAATACTAGAATGTAAAAGTTCTAAAAGTCTTTTGTTTTCTCTTATATTGAACTACATGATGTCATCTTACTTTTTATTAAAACATGAAATTAATATTCAATTTAACGAAATTTTTATTTGACGATAAAATTTTAATAAAAATATAATTAACAGAAATATAAGTATAATAACTATGGTTAAAACATCATATTGGATGTTCCAGGGAAAAGAGTCTCTCAATATTTCAATTATATTACTTTTAATATTTGCTTGTTCACACTTATCTTTTTTCAAAAAATAAATCTTTTAATTCTCTATAAAAACGGTATGTTTTTTTTGTAAATGTAAATAATCATCATCATCATTTTCCAAAACAAGCTTCAAACGAAAAGTCCAATATATAAATATAAGAACTCATTGTCGAATTTTTATGACTTCAGATATTAGTTTTTCAATAGGAGTATCTTTCGATGTTACTTTTTTTCATTTAGTATAACAACCAAAATCATCTCAAATTGAACGATCCAATAAATTTCATTGTGAATTATTCAATAGTCAATATTTGAGGCTGTTTGGATGTACATGTTTCGAAATAATATAAGAAGAATCATACATTTTGTTTGATAGAAAAATTTCTATTGTGTGGATTTTGTTGGGTTAGTAGAAATCATCTAGAACAGAATTGTAGAGTTCGGTGGTTCGAAAAAACCTGGAACCGAAACAATTAAATCATCAGATAGATACAAAAATTCTTGAATCCATCGAGAAATTAAATATTACGGTATATATTTATAATGTTATTTTGTTTAAGTTCTAAAATATGTTACATCTTCAATCTCAACAATTCAATAGTGAAAATTTTCGTATCTTTCGGATGATTTCATAATTTCGGTTCCACATGAGATTGTGAAAACCGTCGAACTCTACAGAACTAAAAGATTGCTAAATATTTTCCTACATTTATGCGAAAAATATAGAACGAATCAGACATCAGATGGTACGCAAAATAACTATCAATTATTGAACTTATTATATAGATTATTATACCATACATTTGGATGAATAGAGTTAAGCAGATTGTCTTCATTGTGATTGCAGTTAGCTAAATTAATTGAAATATCTGTTATAGAAAAAGAAATCGATTGATATCACACATTGACATATGGTTTCTATCATTTGTAGAGATTATGGAATACACATAAATTTCTTATCAATTCTTTCTACACATATTGTTTTGCTATTTCATGAGACTACTCTAAATAATTGTTAATGTCTTTTTCCTACATGATTTATTTAAAGAATAAGTTTGTAACAGACATTATAAACATCAGTTGTTATCTCACCAAATGTTTGAAAGTTATCAATACGAATAATTTTCTTTTCATATCTGAAGTTCTATAATTAATATTGAGATAGAAATATATTCTTATTAAGATATTTTCAACGAACTGAAAGGATATTATTCAATTTCATAATAATTAAATGATTTTCTCATATGAATATATAATCAATAGAATTGACTACACATGATTAAGCATCATTTTTAGTTTTCCTCTATCGAATTTTGTTTTTATAGAAGAAAGTCCACAAAGTTTTGCCTCTTGAACATTTCTTCTTTCGTTTTATTGTAGATTAAGTGATACTAGACTGGAAATAATATTTTGCTAGGAGGATATTGCTATAATTTTAAATAGAGTAAATATTGAATTTTATACCAAACGAAAGTCCGTCAAAAATAGGGTTTATTAGTACTAAACAATAAGGATTATGAAAACTTTCGTACGTTGAAATGTCTAAATTTAGAAAATTTCACCGATCATAGGCATGAGAAAAGTTATCCCAATTTCATAAATTTAGACATTGCAACGTACGAAAGTTTGCATAATCCTTATTGTTTAGTACCCGATTTTTGACGGGCTTTCGTTTGGTATAAAATTCAATATTTATTCTATTCAAAATTATAGCGATACTCCCTGGCAAAATATGATTTCCAGCATAGTATAAATCTTACACAAAACCGACTTCGAGTTATAGTTTATTATGATCATGTCAACAAAAAGAAAGAAAAAATGTCCAAGGATCAAAACTTTGTACACTTTCTTCTAAGACTTGGGTCTACTACTACAACTATCAAATTTGTATATATCTATTAAATTTAATGAAGAATCGTAAAATTTTTAGAGTGATCCATGTACCATTAAAATGTTATGGAAAAAATATATGTCGTTTACTAATTGATTTAATTTATGGATTAATAACAATTTTAATTTCATCAATATTAATGATTATTTCAAATATACAATATTTACATTGTCGTATGTAATGTATAACTATTATATATCAGTCAATATTCTTTTACAAACAAGAGAAATAAAATCAAAAAGAATTGATCATTATTTACTTCGTATGTTTTTAATAGAAGTTCTTCTTTTACTTATATTTTGTATGTCACAAGTTTTACATAAATTTTATATTACATTTAAATCAATAAATTCAAGTCATAATTGAATTTTTTTATCTTTATATTTTAGCTGATAAAACTGTTTTTCTTTTTTGAAGAGCATTTTATGATCTATTACAAATATTTCGTCGAAAAAAGAAACATCAATAAAAAATTAATTTCCATTGTGAAAACATTTGTTCTATATTATTTACTAATAAATAATTATATTAGCCGTAAAATTGAATCGTCAACACACACTCTCAAATACTACAAATTGAAGATAATATTGGATGATTAAATTTGGAAATAGAGTATCAATAGACCTGCACTTTATTGAATCTTACTTATAGAATCTCTTATGTGAAATAAGACAATTATGAAAGATTTCTACGAAGAAAAAATGCAAGATTTTGAACTATTAAAACTTTTCTTTAGGATCTTTTGATAATGAATCCTATCATTCTCGACATAATGTTTATTTCTCTAAACATCAAGGTCGTCACTATGTGGATCTCCAATGAATATATAATACAAGTGATAGAAGTGCGAGTGTCCCGAAAACATATGCAGCGCTTTTTTTTAGGCAGAAAAATTCTCCATCATAGTTTATTTCACTTTTTAACGAAGATTTATGAATAGAGATGTGCAGGATCAAGTCTTTTTGGTCCCAATCCCGTACATCTCTGCTCATAAATTAAATACTTCAAATATACTCGTTCTATTGTTTTTCTTTTTTTATCTAACTCGATCATGAATGATTCGATAAAGAGTATTGCCAAAAAAAAAGTCGTTTTTCGTTACTGAACTATAACAATACGCTGAACAATGCTTCTATGTTGATTATTATTCATTCTTGCTAATTATTACAATACCTTACATTTGTTTTTTAATAGAAAACAAGGGAAAATGATATCGTTTTGGTTGAAACATTCGCACTTTCGTAATTACTATTGATGATAATAATCAGCGTTTAATTACGACTACGAATGATCTTATAGTTAGAGGTGTAAGCCGAAGAATCGAGCAGCGGTGAGCAAAAATTTTCAATTTTTGAGAATTTTCAGCGGCCACCGATTCAATTTTGCAGGCTCTTCAGCAACGGTGGCTCATACTATCATAGATTTTCGTTTGTAACGAAGGCAAAGCGGCTAAACTTGCTTTTTCGCGGCAGTGGCTGCTGAAAAATTCTTAATGATTTGATGGCTGCGGCGACTCAGTCGTACGGCTTACATCTCTACTTATAGTTATGGTTATGTAAAACCCATATCTTTGCTTCTATACTGTTAAATGGAGATTAATTTAAAAATCTTTTTATATTTGTATTAATAATTCACTTAATTCTTCTTCTTCAATTAAATTTTTTTACATTTTTTTTTGCGTTCAATATTCCTATAATGAGATATTTGATTTTTATTCAATAGGAAATGCTATCATTAATAAGATGAATTTTTTATCAATTAATCATTCGAAATTTATTTACAAAAATGAAATTAATAGAATTATTCGATCCATTTCTATTAAAAATAATCCAATCATTAGAAAAAATTCATTTAATACTTACAGGAATGAAACTATTATACATAGTAACGATATACATTGATTGTATTTGTAATAGGATCTGATTATACTACACACATACGAATAGTTCAATTGATATATTTTATTCAGTATTCTTG